TATATGTATACATACATTATATATAATTGGAATATATATTATATTTTTATATATTGGAATATATATTATATATATATAATAAAACATTATATGTAGTGTTTTTAAATTGGGCTTAACCTGATAAGTATTATATCTTATTCTGCTATTTTCACCTATACTGTCATGGGCATTTCCTACATTGTTATTCTTCAAAAATACTGTTTTTAATCCCAGCACTTGGTATGCTAAGGCAGGAGGATCATTGCGAGTTCGAGGCCAGCCTGAGCTACAAAGTGAGCTCAAAGCCAGCCTCAACTGCATAAAGAGACCCTGTCTCAAAAAGACAAAAAAAAAAAAAAACCCAAAATACTATTTTTAATGCATACCTAATTTTTAGTATGGCTATACCATCTGTTGAACACATTTTTTGCTGTTACTTAATGTATCTGTGGTGGCCAGTTTCTCTCGTAAATACAATGCCTAGAACCTGAGTTAGTCTACTCCCTACAGCAGTCATTGCTTATTTTCATGCCTCTTCTCTGTGAGTCATTTATTTATTTTTTTATTTTTATTTTTTATTTTTTGTCTTTTAGAGACAGGGTCTCACAATGCAGTTCAGGCTGGCCTTGAGCTCACTTTGTAGCCCAGGCTGGTTTTGAACTTGCAACGATCCCCTGCCTTAGCTGGGATTATAGGTGTGCACCACCACGCCTGGATCTGTGAGCCATTTAGAACAGTAAAGATGAGTATTTTCTGAGATCTAGGTTAGTAGGTGGTATACAACAAGTGGTAGTTGATCCTAAATTTCAGACCCATGGTCTATGACAGTGTCTGTTCTCTTTGAGTGGTGTAGGACTCCCAGTATATATACTTTTGGTGGCTAGCTATTAAATAAGAAAGACAGCAGCCTTAGCAAACTGAAGATGCATGCTTTCCTTAAGATTAAAGGCTTTCAAATTTAAATTTCTCTGAAGTGGGCTGGGGATGCAGCTCAGCAGCACAGTGCAGTGCCTGCCTGGCAAGCTCAAGGCCCTGAGTTGGATTCCCAATGCCAAAACAAAAACAAAAAACAGTACATTTCTCTAAAGTACCTATACTGCGCTAGCCAAACAAAACATAGTTGATCTCCAAAGCCACCAGTCTCCTACCCTTGTACAAAGACTAAAAGGAGACCCCTTTTCTAGACCTGAAGAAGAGAGTATAATCAACAGCACTTTCTGTGTTAAATTTGGAGAGAAACCAAGGTATCTACACATTTGGCAACAAGAAACCATTAGAGAACCTAAATGATCAAAATTAATGATTTCCACAGTTTGAACCCCAGGGCCGGGGATATAGCTCAGTGGCATAAGTACTTGCCTGGCAAGCCTGAGGTCATGAGTTCGATTCCCAGTAC